GGTGTGCTCAGAGTGGAGTGAAGAAGGAGAGAAGTCTACTTCGGCCTGTTGTGTTACATTCGGGCAAGCGGAAAAAGGATGATTTGGGGACATCCAAAGATCGGAGTGGCAAGAAGAAGGCTAGAGCTGCTGAGAAAGAGGCTGATGCAAAGAAGAGAGGTGCACAATCTTCTAAATCAGGTGATTTTCTGTGCTTTGGACGCTTTCTGTTATACATATCTTTTATGATGGGAAGATATTAAGTTTTGATTTTGAGAACTTACATGGCAAGAATATTAACCCTTGGTCAACTTATATGGCAAGAATTTTATGATGGGAAAATATCTGTTGACTCCAAATTTTGTGTTTTAATTTTTATTACTAGTGTTTACACCCACGAGTGATGCAAAACAATTGGAATTTTCTGAGGACAGAGGTCCGAAGATTTCCAAGGGTGACATTCAGAGTAAGAAGAGCAAGAAGTTTAGCGACTCCGTGGTCAGAGAACCTGCATCAGATGGTTGTCTTCCAGCAGACTCTACTGTTGAAAAACACTCATCAGAATCCTTGATTTCTGACACGCGTAAACAGAAAATTTCAATTGGTGATGGACTGAAGGAAGACAAGGTTGGCCACCAAGTTCCTGCAGTGCCGGAGAATCTCACTCTCACCAAAACTGTTGATGCTGTTGCTTCATTGTTAGAGCACAATGATGGTGCAGCTGATTGTGAAAAGAAAGAGGTACGCTTTATTGATACTCATCTTAGTCGGTTGCTAGTGTTTATTAAGTATTTTGTTGCTTTATTTAACCATTCATCCACGTAATGGAACTATTACTGCAAAATCCGCTTTCTTTTTATATTTATACACCATGAATAATTGAATTATTCACAATTAACTTTTGGAATTTGATGCCAAGCTTATAGTAAACCTTTAACGAGGAAAAGAAGAAACCATACACATAAGCATCAATATCAACTCTCTATGCATAAAATGGATTTGTACATTTCTTGACTACTGAGTTTGGCACTATTTAATGTTAGTTCATTGGACTGCGCATCTGTGTATTGTGTGTGTTTGTGCACATAGACGTCTATAAGTGTTTCAGATTTGAGACTTGAACAATTTTTTGGAATTGACATTTCTTGTACCATAGGGAGGTAGGACAGCAGATGATACGTTGGATGTGCAACCTCTAATTGGAGATGTTGCTGCTCCAGAAGTTAAGAATCAGATTCAATATTCTAATGGTGGTATCTCTGTGGAACCTCATTCTAAATTGAAAACAGAAGATCATGATGAGAATTGTAGGAGCTCATTGAACATTCAGCATTCTCCTCATGCTGATGCAAAAGATCTCAGTGTATCTTCTGATCACAGGTCTGAAAGTCTGAGAATCAATGAGGTACTAGTAAACAGCCCACTATCTAGTGACCATAAGGTGCTTGGTGCTGACAGAAATTCAGAAGTGGCTAGTGATTCTTGTAAAGACAAGAGCGATGAGTTATCTGGTGATCCTTGTCAACTTAAACAGGAATTGGAAGGTTCTGAGGGTTCCATGGCTCTGCAACAAAGTCCTTCAGATCCCAAACATAGTTTGGGGTCTCCTGAAGAGCTTTCAAAACCAGATGGAATTATCTTCAACTCTCCAGCAATACCAAGTCAGTGTAAAACAGTAGCATGTGCTGGAAAATCTTCTGCTGTTTCATTAACCGTTGCAGTCTCCATATCATCCGCTTCTGATATCTTAAAATCTGGTGATGCTCAGAATCCTCATCCAATTTTGAAGCAACGAGTAATATCTGAAAGTAATGTTAGCACTAAGAAGGATCGTGCTTCATGTGACGACTTGGATGAAGACAGGGACAATATGTCAAGGAAAACAGTAAAAGAGCATGTCAGATCCTCTACAAATTCTACTCTGAAAACCTCACACTCGAGCAGGAATCATGATTCTAAGTGGGCCACATCAGAATCAAAAGATTCAGTGCATCACTCATCTTCCAAGACGTCTCCAGCAGGGAATACCACTGTTCCTTCAGGATCTAGTGAGCCTGCTGGATCACTGCCCAGCCAGAAGGTTTTACATGTACAAAATAAGAGTTCAGCTTCTAGTGCATTGCAAAGAGGTGAAAAGTTCAACCATACAACTTCATCTAAGACTAATCAGAATCACACACCATCTGCTTGTCCCCCTGCACCACCAAGTGTGCAGGCACAATTAACTGACCAGGAGGTGAGAAAAGAAGTTTCATTTCTTTATCTTATTATCTTTTATTAGTGGTAAGTTATTGGGATGACATCTTAAATATCTTATGGGGAATTTGGCAGATAGCTATGCTTTTGCATCAAGAGCTCAACAGTTCTCCAAGAGTACCTCGTGTACCACGTGTTCGCAATGCATCTAGCTTACCTCAATTAACTTCAAGTGCAACAAGCACGTTAATGAAGCGTACATCTAATTCTGGAGGAAAGGATCACAGTTCGGTAAGATGTCAAACTTATTTCATGTTTTGAGAAAAATAAAAAAATATGGTGTTAATTTATCATCTTCTGATTAAGAGGATGTCTTGCACTCGTCTATAATATAATATTGTCCGAGTCATGTTTGTGCCAGCTAATCCTATTAATACAATCTTTAGGTCTTTAGAAGAAAAATCAGGGATGCACCTAAAGATGGGTCCCGAAGTTCACGTGAACATGATGAAGAAGCTAAAAGGACGGGGAGAATACCATCTTCTCCGGATCGAAGACGACAAGATGCAGCAGATATTGCTAGTAAGAGGGAGGACAATGGATCTTCAGCAGCGGTACTCTCTGGCAGGAAGAATATTCATTCTTCCTCCACTCATACTGCAAACAGTGGACCATCTTCGTCCAATGAGGCTAATGATCGCAATGTGTCATCTGTACGCAGTTCGCCTATGAATGTCTCTGATGATGATACAGGCTCAGTTGGTCCGATTCATCGTACATTACCAGGTAGCTGTAATTCTGTAAGGTTTCCCATTTCTTCTTAGATTTTGTTTAAATTTGCTCATTGTGTTTTCATTGTACAGCCTTGATAAATGAGATTATGAGTAAAGGCAGACGCATGACATATGAGGAGCTTTGTAATGCTGTGATGCCGGTATGGTTGCTTTCAAAAGAATACTTGCTGTTTAATTGTAGTACACGCCATAGTGCGTGAAGAACAATGAATGTATCTGAATTTTTTTTTCTCTCTCCTCTCGTTTCTTTTTGCAGCACTGGCTTAACCTGAGAAAGCATAATGGAGAGCGTTATGCATACACAAGTCCTTCACAGGCTGTTCTTGATTGCCTTCGAAATCGACATGAATGGGCTCGGTTAGTTGATCGTGGTCCTAAGGTATCCTCATCAAAATACGCGCATTTGTGTTTCATCAATGCACATATGCTTTATTGCATCCTTTACTAATTTCATTGCAAAAGCCTGTTGCATGATCCAAATTATTAAAACTACTGAACCAAAAACATGAAGTGTCAATATTCAACCATGGTTGTGTATGTGCTTTTGCATGTTTCTCTTTTCTACTTTGGGGTGGGGGTGGGGTGTGGGTAATGAATCAATCACCTGAAAATTGGAATAAACTGGTGCAGCAAGAGGACTTCCCATGTGAACTTGGTGAGTTTTGGGGGTGAGACATGGATTTGGGACAAATTAGGCTCATTATAAGGAAGCTGACATTGTGTAGTTTTGGTAGAATAAAATTTTCAGATTGTGGCTCAGTGTTCTCATTCCTATTTCGCTGAAAACGGCAGTAATTAGGACTATGCATTTTCTCATGTTTTTTTAATCTCTGTAGCAGACAAATTCAAGTAGGAAAAGGCGAAAAGCAGATGCTGAAGATTCAGATGATAATGAATATGGCAGGGGAAAAAATCCAAAGGAGTTGGATGGTAAAAGCATTGAGACACAGAGAGAGGACTACCCCAAGGGCAAGAGAAAAGCTCGAAAACGTAGGAGATTGGCTCTTCAGGGAAAAGGAATAAAGGATGTCAGGGAGAAGCGGAAGGCAGATATGCTTACCGACGATGATGTTGGACAGTCATTTTCTAATTCCACTGAAGGAAGCATGTCCACTGAGGATGATATTCAGGGAGGCGGAGCATGCCCGGTAAGAGGAAGTGAGGCCTCTACTAGTTCGGATGATGAGACCGGGGCAACGTGATTGTTCATTGTTTGCACTGTTTGGTCTGATATCAAGGCTCTCAATGTGGCCATGAAGCCTCTCAGTCCGCCATCCCTTCTTTCGTGTGACGCTGTTGCAGCTGCCCTACGGCTTTGACAGCTTTTTGTGATGAAGTCCCAGTTGGGATTTCATGCTGGATCCGAGAAATGTAATACCAGTGTACATATGAGTTGTTTAATTTTTGTGACAATGGATTAGAACTCCTCGTTTATTGAGGCGTAGATTCGATTTGATTCTGTAAAAACTTAGGCAGGCTGCACCTCCTCCATAAATTAAACCTAACCTTTTGTGAATTCGTCATCTTGGTTTGTTCGGCTCAGGGAAAGGTCAGGATCCATTTCAATATACGGTATTCACCTTCAAATTTGTGATTGTATGCAGAGGATTAAAACTGAGATACACCCCCTTGCCTTGCATGGACTGGTTTTACTTTTCCAACTAGAAATATGAGAGTTAAAGGTGAATACTGCATCTTTTTATTCGTTGTATGCAGTATTCACCCGTATCTAGTATACATTAACGTATAATGTTTAACAGAATTTTTTGAGTAGTGAATCTTTAGTCGCTCATTCAACGCTTCATTCTTTCGTTTGCATGCAAAATATAAAACTTCGTCAAATCAGTTGGTCCGTGAAAATACGGGTATATTTTCAAATTTTCGTATGTCAGATGACCGTAACACGAAACGTACGCAAGTGGACAGTTGCGTTGCGTCCACCAAACACCAGGAAGTCTCGAGGAATGCAATCTCTCCCGTGGAAGTTGGGCCTTTAAGTTTACCCGTTCAATCTTCTCTCTCTCTCTCTCTCTCTCTCTCTCTCCTCTCTCCTCTCTCTAGATATAAAAAGGCGATTCAGACTAGAGGGACAAATCGTTGAAAACGACGGTAAGAGATTTCTGGGGCATTTCTCTCTCCCCCTCCCACAGATCATTACCCATTGCCTTTACCCCCACCAACTACCTTCAACTGCAATCCCTCCACGCTTCCTCCGCCGTCCCGCGGCTGTTGCTGCTTTTTCACATTCTCTCTCCGCGGCGATCTGGTTCGTCCAATTTCTCTATTTCGCCTGATATTTATGTGTTTAATTTGTTGCTTGCCGATTTTGTTTAATTGTGGTCTCGATTGAATTGGGTCGGATTCGAATTTGGGATCTTTGTTTCTTTCTTATTTGATTTGTTGATTGGTTAGGTTGTGTGAATCATCAGCCATGACAATTCCGGATTCGGATTTCATGATGGAAAACGGAGTTAGTTGCTTACCCAACACGCCGGAGGAGGAGAAGCGGATCATCGATGAATTGGCTCGAAAATCGGAGGCCAATGTCAAAGAAGGCAACTTGTTCTATGTTGTTTCCTATAGGTGTGTGCTCCTCTTTCTTTGAATTTAATGCTAGAGGTTTTATCTTTGGATTGGCAGCCATCTATTTGCATGTTATTGTTGCTTTTGTTTTGAATCTTTCTTGAGAAGTGCTTTTCGCATCGTAATTGTTTGGTTAATTCTGGGTTCTTAGTTTCTTGTGGGTTTTACGTGCTTTCTAAGCCAAAAGCATGCATTTGTGCTATGCTTCTGTATTAAGCAATTGGGTATTTGATTAGATTTTCTTTTGTTTATTTTTCGTGTTTAGTAAGTCACTCTCTTTTTCGCTTTCTTTTATCACATTCATATGGTTGCTTTTTACATGGAGCATGTTGATTCCAAACTTTGGCTCGACGAATTAAGACCGTAACAATCACACCAAGAACATGAGTCAAGCGATGTAACATGGTTCACCTAAGTAGCACTGTGTCCACATTGATTTGTGTTGTGTTTTCACTAAAAGTGTTGCCTTTACTTAGAAGGCTTGAAAGCCTTTTTTGAGAGAGTGAGAGTGAATGTAGATGGAGATAGTTACTATGAGAGGGGGAACCTTTTAAATAGGCTAACGCTTGAGTTTTTTTAACTGGTGGGCCTCCTTCGTGGGCTAAGGCTCGGCCATGGGTGTAGCAAACCATGTGAAAAGGGCTCCCCCAAGTCTCCCAAGCATTTACTTAGGCCTGTTTGAAACTGCTTTTAGGATGACTTAAACCACAATCTTAAAACGAAAGGTGTTTTGACATTGTTTGACATAAAATCTTAAATAGTACTTCTGAATTTCAAAAGTTCTTTTAGTGTATCTAGAGGGTACCTCCCTTCTGCTTTAACAGAAGCATTACTAAACGAAGTTTTAATCTGGTGCTTTTACAAAAATTGGTTATGACGTTGTTCAGTATGACCAATATCCGGATCAGTTTTAACTAGGCAAAATTTTCCTTACACTTTGTTGAACAGATTTAATGTTATCTGCATTATAAGAATCTATACTACTATATGGGTGACACTACTTTGAAGACTTCTTGACTGTAATTTGGGTTACTGGCTGTTGTTTGAATAGTAAAAATGCTTGCATGTTTGTAACTAGGTTTATTCTACTGTTTGTCCAGGTGGCACTCAAGCTGGAAGAGGTATGTTGAGCAAGGCACTGGAAAACATCTATATGACGAGCAGGATTTTGTGTCTCAAAAGTTGGATCTGCTCTCATCTAAAAATATAGCTAGACCTGGACCTATTGATAATTCTGATATAGTTGTAAATGAATCTGAGGGCAGCGATTTACAACTTCATAGTACACTGCTGGAAGAGCGTGACTATGTCTTAGTTTCTCAAGAAGTTTGGGAAAAGCTTTTCGACTGGTAATTACTTATTTTGCATCAAACCCCTTTCACTTGTATTCTATTTTCTTTAAAAGTATACAGGGAGTGTGTTTAATAATAAATTCAATTTAAAATAGGTGCAAGGGCACCTTTTTCATATTTTGTTCCTTATTTTTTATAAAAATTATCCTTTAAATCTTACAGGTACAAAGGAGGTCCTGCATTACCAAGAAAGATGATTTCTCAGGGTGACCTTATCAAGAATCTGATGGTGGAGGTCTACCCGCTCTGTCTTAAGATTATTGATTCAAGAGACAGCAGCCAGACAGTTGTAAGATTAAGCAAAAAGGTACATTAATATTTCTTTTGCTTTTTCCTTCATACATATAAGTTTTGGAAAATTTTTCATTGCTTGTAGAAAAGGATATGTAAGGGGTTGCCATCTAGAGTTGTATTTTCATTGTTTTTTATTTGTCTGATGGTGTTGCATTCTTGGAAGTGTGTAAACTTTGGCTGTCGTGGTTGTGAATCTTGTGATGGCTTTGACCATATGTATATAGTGTACAATGTAGGTTTTAACAAATTTAGTCTGTTTCAGGCTTCTGTACAGGAACTTTACGAGAAGGTGTACAAAATTAGAGGAATAGAGCAACAAAAGGTACATTTACATAGTTGTTTACCCCTTTTGGGAGTTTTTGACTTCATTTACTATGAAGTTAATCACATTCGTTTTTCCTTTCTTAATTTTTAATCACAGGCTCATATTTGGGACTACTTCAACATGGTGAAGAATTCATTATTGAGTGCTTCAAACCAAACCCTAGAGCAGCTGAACTTGCAGATGGATCAAGAAGTGAGTTCTATTGTATTATTAATTAGGATATTCTTTGTTACTTAAATTGAATGATTGCTTATCATAAATTATTACACAAAGGAATAAATAGAATTGGTAAAGATAAACATGAGATATACTAAGTTGGTTTTCCAGCCTACTATTACTGATTAAGCTGCATTTTTAAGTAGACATTTGCTGTGTGGTGGTTATTTTTGCACTCTTTCTTATTTCCCACTTGGGATTGGGATTTATGTGTATCAGCATTTTGCTTTGACTTCTGAATTCTTTCTGGATGATTCTCAGATTTGTCAGTTGTGACGTTTATTTTTATTTATCTAATGACTTTATTGATCTATACTTTTCCTGCAGATTCTACTTGAGGTGCAAGTTAATGGGAACTTTTCTTCTCAATTCTCCATGGATTCAACAGGAAATGAGTTAGCATTGGTACCCCTAGAACCATCAAGGTCATCTATGACAATTGCAGGAGGGTCTTCCTTGTCAAATGGTCATTCAATGGATTATAGTTATAATAATTTGCACCAGGGAAGTGCCTTAAGCAGCTCAACATCAACATTTACAGATGATAAAAGTTATGTTTATAATCCAATGAAAAAATTAGATAGGGGAGGTTTGGCTGGATTGCAAAATCTTGGAAACACATGTTTTATGAATAGTTCACTTCAGTGCTTAGTTCATACACCTCCACTTGTTGAGTATTTCTTGCAAGATTACTCTGATGAGATCAACACTGACAATCCTTTAGGGATGCATGTAAGTGTGGTTATCTTTTTCATATTTCACTCACGCCTTCTCCATGCAGATATTATTGAATATTAATTTATTTTTCCCTTTTTTCCCTTTAAAATCTGACATATGTAGTAATTCTGCAGGGTGAGCTTGCTCTTGCATTCGGTGAGTTGTTGAGAAAATTGTGGTCATCAGGACGAACAACAATTGCACCACGTGCTTTCAAGGGAAAACTTTCTCGATTTGCTCCCCAGTTTAGTGGCTATAATCAACATGATTCTCAAGTTAGTACTATTTGTTTTCTTAATATCTTCTCTGTTTAATGCTCTTCAATGTAATAGTATGCTATTATCTAATGTTAAATGTGCAACAGTGTTTCTTTTTTTTAAACAAAATATCACTTGATCTTGAAAAGCCACCAAGAGTGTTTTTCTAGGGTATTTATAACAAGCTACATTATTATTGTATTTTTCTGAATGGTAAGTTCTTTTTTCAGGAACTTCTTGCTTTCTTACTTGATGGACTACATGAAGATTTGAATCGTGTCAAGAATAAGCCGTACATTGAAACAAAAGATTCAGATGGTCGTCCAGATGAGGAAGTTGCAATTGAATGTTGGAAAAATCACAGGGCCCGAAATGATTCATTGATTGTGGATGTGTGCCAAGTAAGAATTGTTTTGTGACTGTTAGTGTTATATCATACAATGTGTGCATGTTGCTACTGCTAGATCTTAAATGTCAGCTCTTTTTCTCTCTTCAGTAATCCTATGTTTGTTATGCTAATATTTTTCAATTTGGTTTTTTTGACCAATTTGATCAATTTATATTGAATGGACTTGCTCTTTTGTATTTAGCTGTGTTTTTTTTTCTTTCTTTCAAGAGTAATTTTTGCTTCTCTGTGTAGTTGGATGTTCACTTTGTGTCATACAAGCAATCTATTTCTTAATTAAGGAACTTTTGTTAAATGTACAAGGTTTATCTTTTGGTTATTGACTCACATTTCTGGTTTAACTAATGTCCAGGGTCAATATAAATCAACATTGGTATGCCCAGTTTGTAGCAAGGTTTCAATTACTTTTGATCCGTTTATGTACCTATCATTGCCACTACCTTCAACTGTCACCCGGTCAATGACGGTAACTGTGCTTTATGGAGATGGGCGTGGGCTTCCACTTCCGTACACTGTAACCTTGATAAAAGATCGGTGCTGTAAGGATCTTATTGAGGCATTGGCTAACGTATGCTGCTTGAACAGTGATGAAACCCTTCTGCTTGCTGAGGTAATATGGAGTTCACTGACTTAATAGTTCCTTTTGTTTTTTATTCTTTATTTTTCTGTGGCATCAAAACCTTTTTGTTAGCTCAAAATCATTTGTTGGCTCATTTCAGCATTCCTCTAGTTTAAGTTTTTAAGCAAAAGAAGTAGCCTATATGGTATCAAATTTATGGTCTCAAGAGGCGTTGGAAACCTCTCATCCCCATTCCCCAATTAACTGTGAACTATAGATTGAGGCCCATGCATATGTTTCTCTCTCGACCACATGCAATATAATATATAGGGGCTGCAAGTTAAAGGAGTGTTAACTTGATATATATTATTGTTGGCACCTAACAACTTGAGTTTTTGGGTAAAATATTAGTCTTAACACTTCCATTTCAGGTATATGAACATCGAATTTATCGATATTTGGACAACCTTTCTGAACCATTGTCTTCAATTAAGAATGATGATCGGATTGTGGCCTATAGATATTCTAAAGAAGAAGTAGCTTCCAGAACCAGACTTGAAATTATTCATCGACGGCAGGAAAAGTGAGTCTGCTTCCTTTATCTCTAAGGTTTAATTTATATAAGCAAGGAATGTCGATTTCAGTGAAAAATCTGAGGACCATGGAATTGTTCTGTTTTTTTTTTTTTTTTTTGTAAACCCTGATAAATAGGTGATTAAGTATAATTGCTTAATCACCTAGGTTCTGCGTGTATCCATTGGATGAGCTCTTTATCATTATTGTTTTTTCCTTTTTGGCTGAATTATTAACAAAAGCTATTGTCAACTTGCAGATGTGCATTAGATCCTCTGAAGGGTCAGAGAAAGCTTTTTGGAACACCTTTGGTTGCCTATCTAGGAGAAGACCGGATAACTGGTGTTGATGTTGGTAGAGCTGTTTCTAAAATTCTGTCGCCCTTGAAGAGAGTGGTTAAGCTTCATAGCACGAAACAAAATGGATTAGTTTCAGAAGCCATTCATGAACCATCAAACAGCCACAATTTGAGGCCCACGGAGAACATAGAGCTAGAGGAATCATCAAGTGGCGAGTTATCCTTCCAGCTATTTTTAGCTGATGAGAGGGGTATGACCTGCAAACCACTTGAAAAGTCTTCATCCATAAGTCCCGGTAAAATCGTAAAGATATTTGCGGACTGGACTGACCAAGAAGACGAAGTATATGATGCTAGCTATCTCGGGGATCTACCTGAGGTACACAAGAATGGGTTCACAGCAAAGAAAACTCGGCAAGAAGCTATTTCCTTATTCACATGCTTGGAGGCATTTTTGAAGGAAGAACCTCTAGGTCCCGATGATATGTGGTTTGTACTTTTACCTATTCTAATGGTTTCTGTACGGCATAATATATAATTTTCGGGCAAGTAGGTATCATCCTTGACGTATGTTATTGAATTTTGCAATACAGGTACTGCCCTAAGTGCAAGGAACATAGACAAGCTACAAAGAAACTGGATTTGTGGATGTTGCCGGAGGTTCTTGTTTTTCACCTGAAACGGTTCTCATATAGCAGATACTCAAAGAATAAACTTGATACCCTGGTGACTTATCCAATTCTTAATCTTGATTTGAGTCAATATGTGAAAAGCAAGGATGGAAGGCCTCATCTCTATGAGCTATACGCCATTAGCAACCATTACGGCGGTCTAGGTGGTGGGCACTACACTGCATATGCGAAGGTAGGATAGCTCTAGTGCATCTCATCATTTTTCATTTGAATAGTTTTTCTCGGTCGGTCAAGTATTAGCATGGCAAGCCTTGAAGTGACATGTTATCTTTCCGATTTGGCAGTTGATTGATGAGAACAGATGGTACCATTTTGACGACAGTCACGTATCTCCAGTGGATGAAACTGATATCAAGACTTCGGCCGCCTATGTGCTGTTTTATCGGAGAGTTAAAAGTGGACAAAATACCGGAGAGGCAGAGTCATCAGGGACTCGTATGGAATCTTGAGCGGGGATATCTCGTGCATCTTGCTATATCATAAGGTTTTCAAACTTCCCACCAAGTTAAGCCGGCTTGGTGCAAGAATGGTGAGCACTGTGGCTGGTTGAACATACAGATTGCACGGCGCTGGGAGTGGACCAAACAGCAATACGAGGGGAAGGAGCTGCACGACATGGCGGTTGGTACTAAGAATTTGTTCTCCATCTCATACAATATTCTTTTAGAAAACGAAATTTTGATGGACATTTATTCGTGGGGAAGGGTAGCAAATTATATATGGAACTTGCATAAGATGTTGGTGTTTTTACGGCTGCCACGATAAAGCAGTGAAGGCTGTCAAGTGTAGACAGAATAGATTATGTAACGGAACACTTGTTTGGTGTTAATACGACCAGACGCATATTTGGTCGAAATTTCTAAGAGCCTTGTGTTTTACTTCAATGCTGGACGTTAATTTCCGTTAACTTTGTCACAATTTTTTGTCATTTTGGTCACAATTTTCTGTTAATTTCATAACGTACACGTGAATGGTGATAACCATTTTGTTTTTATTTCTTTTGAAATTTGAAAACTGAAATCTTTGAAAAGTATTTTTAGATTTTCAAAGAAAAGAGAACTGAAAATTGCTTTCTTAGGAACTGTTTGATACCATGTCCTTTTTAGTTTTCATTTTTTTGGAGATTGAAAATTAAAATCTTGTTCGATAGCTGTTTTCATTTTTCAAAAGAAATTCAATCTGAAAACTTCCTTTTTTTGAGTTAAGTTTTCAGTTATTGGTTTTCAATTTAAAAAAAAAAAAACTGAAACGAAATGTTCATCCGATGACCCCTTGAGTTTTCGAATTTTAGCCTAGAGTTTAATTTTAAATTTTTAGTTTTAATTCTTTTGAAAGTTAAAAATTGAAAATAATTAAGGTAAAAAATACTACAGTCAATACAGAAAAAAAAAAAAAACTCTTTTAGTACATGAGAAAGATAAAATATTTTACAACAACAAATACAAAAGTGGGGGCCCCTCCCCTCTAGCCTCTGCCTTCTAAAACGCTCCTCAGCACCATCATTAAACTTTAATTAAACACTAATCACCCTCCTACCCCTAATCCACTAGAGTTGTTATTAAGACACTGAATTATAAATAAATAATAATTGCCCTGCAAAAGCCCAAAAGAGAGAAAAGTTAGGAAAAGCACTTATTAAATAAATAAGGTTTGGTACCAATTGAATTGCGTGCCACCGATTGCCAACTAAAAAGACTAAAAGCCACCCACCACCATCATCACTTTCACCAAATGAGCCCCACACCATCTCAAATAATCAAAACCTAGTTGATGATCTCAAGAAAATATCACCTATATGCATCAAGAGGTGTGGGGTGGGGCTCATTGGGAATTTTGTGTTAGGACCTATTTCTAAGAGATATGTTAGCATCAGTCGTTTATCACCGAGCTAGTGTTGATTCTTGACTGTTGGTGTGCATGTAGTGTTCACAATGCATCAAGAGTCAAAGAATTTTAATGCGTGAGTAGGCGACTGATGGGGCTCATTTCCAAATTTGTGTTACAATCAAATTTGAGTTGGTGCGCTACAGTCAGTCACACATCACCAAGTGAACGACTCTTGACTTACTGCTGATACATGTGAGACTCAAAATGCATCAAAAATCAATAATCATTGACGAGAAAGTGGACAACTGACCGTAAATGCATCAACAGTTAAAAATAGCAGACGATGATGATGATAGTGGGAAATAGTATTTAACATGGTGGATTAGTTTTACCTCGTTCCTAATTCCCAAGTAACCTCCTCTATTTATTTTCTCTCTTTTCCACCGTCCATTCAGATTTTGAGATCTGATCTTGAGCAACTTTAGATATTTTGCTATCAGCTTTTCATCAACAAGGAGGCCAGCAGCCACATCATCGCAATCCAACCAATCACATGGAATCTCTCCTGCAAACAAAAATAGCAAAAATTAAATAAAAAACAATTCCATTTAATCACATGCGACACGACGTCGTATCCCGCGGCACCACCGTCCCCGGTACTTATCAACACTGACGACCAATAAGGACTCAACACCTGGACCACTTTTTTTTCAACCATCACATCATCCACGGTAAAAAAGTAAACAGTGAAATTGAATGACTTACCGTGGCGGGGGCGGAGGAAATGGACAAGTATGGCGTGCCGGAAGAACCAGACGGCGACCCACCATTACTAATCGGATTCACCTGTCCCTGGCCCGAACCCGAACCCGAACCCGAACTTGAACTTGAATTAGAGTTTCCAAAGGAAATGTTGCCCGTCGAGAGCCCGATTGAGTACGCGGGCGACCCGTCGGGTTTAAACAGCCCGAAGTTCCTCTCTGAACTCGGGCCGGGTTTCATGTTCTCATTGAACAGGGCGAACACGTAGATGTTGAGATCCGACCCGGGCCTGAGCGGCGTGCCCTTCTTCTGGCAAATGAGCTTGATCAGATTACCGTTGTACTTCTTCGCGTTCTCCGGCGTCGCTCCGACCTCGTCCTCGTCGCCCTTCGACGGCCACCCGGTCTCGGAGATGTGGACCGGGAGCTTCTTGAAACCGAGGGAGCCCAGGGCGGAGTACACGGCGTCGATCTGGGCGAACAGCATGTTGTCGTAGTGGAGATTGGTGGCAGGATCAAGGGAGCCGGAGTTCGGCTGGAAGAGGACGTACTCGAGCTGCACTTGCTTAGGGTTCGATTTGTAAGCGAAGTAAGGGTAGGCATTGATCAGGAACGGCGATCCGGTTTTGGCGTGGAAATTGAGGATCGGAGTGATGCAGCCGGTCAGATCTCGGCGGAAAGCGCCGGCGGACGGCGGATACGAGGTCTGGAGAATGGAGAGGGAGTGGGCGGTGGTGACGGCGACTTGCTTGTCAAGGCCTAGACCGACAAGGGCGGTGTGGACGCTCTGCATTGCCGGGAGGAGATTGTTGCTCAACGACGTGTCGTTGAAGGTGAGGACCTCATTGCCGACGAAGATGCAGGTAATGTTGGTGGCGGGGAGATGGGCCTGGACATTGGACTTGACCCAGGATTGGGCCTGGGCCGGGTCCTGGACCTTGGCAAGGTACTCGTTGGGGAGGCCCACTATGAACTGGACGCCGGTGTTGGCGAAGGCTTTGAGGACTTTGGGATCGGCGTCGTAGAGCTTGATCTTGGAGATGCCGATGGCTTTCACCAGCGGAACGACGTCGTCGGGAGAGGGTAAGTTGTTGGCGATTTGGCCGTAGTTTATCCCCATTGAATTTACCGTTTCTGGAAACATGAACCCTTTTCAAAAACAAAAACAAAAAACAGAGAAAATGTTGTAAATTAGCTGACCAGAATTCAAAATTTTCAAAAAAGATTGCAACTTTGGAAGTAAATAGGGAAAGTGGGAGCTGGGTTTTACCTGAAATGATGAGAATTGAAAGGAAAATTGCAGAGGAGTAGGGGAAGCTAGTGGTGGCTGCCATTTTTGGAGCTCACTGCTCAGCTTGGAGACTGGAAAGGGAAGAATGTAGCTGCAGGCAACTCCAAATTGGGCCACAACGAGGGGAGAGAGAGAGAATGGGCAACTCTGAGGAGAGAGAGTGAGGAGTAATAGTATAAAGCTGTGAACTTCCACTCTCAGACTCTCACTCTCACAAATTCAGAAATGAGCTGGGACGGTGGGTCCAATGTCCAAGTAGGCACGCAACTGTGAAGTTGAGATGAGAGGGGGAGAGAGGAGAGGGAGAGAGCTTACGTTTTAGTTAGTATGAGAGAGAGAGAGAGAGAGAGAGAGAGAGAGCGCTTTAGGTTTTCGTTGGTAGAGGGGATTCAGATATTTTGGACTTATAAAGTAAAAAAAAATGAAAGAAACAATGTGATACAACGGTAATATCATGTTAATCTAATAACATGTTTTAACTTTTAAAATTAGTATTACATGACTGTAAGTATGAAATACTGGCATTCGCGGTGAACAGTATCTTAAGCTAATTAAGCAGTGTTATGCATTTAACTTTTTTCAGTTGATATGCGTTTTGATTCAAGACACTACTAATGGACAATTAAGCTAATTAAACAATATTATATATTTATCTTTCACGCGTGACATGTCTTATTGATTTAAGTTACCGATACATAGGGATGTAACTTGGGCGGGTTGGAAGGTCAACTCAATCCTAACCTAACTTTTACAATTATGGCTCGAGTTCGAGTTGGGTTTCATTCGGGTTCATTTGGGTTTGGATTTAATTGATTTAGGGTTTACTTGGGTTGGGTTCGGGTTGCCCAACTTTTTCAGGTTTAATCTTGTAATAATTTAGTTTCCAAGAATTCTTAAAAAAAATTAAGCCAAGTATCATCAAAGCTAGCTAACTTTAATTTCATAAATCCATCTATTATAAATCTGGCTGACTAATCAACGCTTCTTATTCCTTAAAAGCTTAAGTAATTATAAAGGGTAATATATTAAAAAAATATTTGAAAGCGCGCTGGTTTTTGGACTTGGCTCACTTAGGTGTAATATGAGTATTAATTGATATGAGTTACAATCTGGTTAGATTATGTTTGGTTAGTCGGGTTGGGTTGAGTTAGGGATGGATTGGCAAATGATCTACCAAACTCAACCCAGTCAATAAATGAGTTGGAATTGGATTGGGTTTGGGTGGGTTATAACTAAAAAAAATAAAAAAAACTTGTTCGGGTTTAAAATCGGGTTAGACATGAGTGGGTTTGAATTGGCCTAATCTAAGTTTCACCCCTACCGATACAGTACTTCCATGTATAAATAAAGGGAACTTTAATGAAAAGGTTCCAGTACTATTAACTTTAACGAAAAACTATATTTTTACTTTAAAAAGTTAATCCTGGTACTATTCACTTACTACACATTTTTATCATTTTTGTTAAAATTCAAAAATTTTAAAAATTTTTCATTAGTTTTCCTATAAATAAAAGGTTGTCCAATTTTACCCGTTCCGATTAAGAAAGTGTAAGGGTGTGATTTGTGTGAGCTATTTTGATTCTTCCTTGACATCCATGCTATGATTGATGCATTGGTGTTGGCATTTTGCGGTGGTGATGGGGTTTTTGGTGGGGTCCAAATGACTGTTGTCCGACAACCTCCACATGATCCCCCTTCCCAATCCCACTCAATCAGGGAGAGGTTTTTTTTTTTTATTTTTTGAACTTTTTGGGGAGGCGGTGAAAGGATAGAGTGGGCGCCGCAAACTTTGCTTTAATAGGAGGAATGTTAACCACGCTTTCATTTCATATGAACATTCTCAGTTCTTTTTTTTTTTTTTTTTAAATTTTCCTTCTCGTTCTACCTGCTCGATAATTCAAACTGCTTATTTAAATATATTAAAAATTATTGAAATTCAAAGTGGTTTAGGAATTTAATAATTATTCAATAAATGTACAACCATGTTTATAATAAAACGTTGAAATATTTTGACAACGGTGGTGGTTGTGGCTGGGGAACCTCTCTGCCACCCTCGCTCCTGCTCTGCTGTCCTTGCTCTGCGACCAACATCTCCTGCTACTCACCCCTCCTGCCACTTTTGTACCCGCATCCTCCTTCACCGTGGACACGAATCGGCTTTATTTTAGTTTCATGCATTTTGTTTTCTTGTTTTTTTTGTTGTATTGCCCAGATTAGTAGATTTTTTTTTTTGAAGGGGCTGTCATTGCCGTTGGTTGCTTTTTTAGGGTTCGAGAAAAACGGCAGAGGCAATTGCCGAACAGAAGGAAGATACGTGGCATGCATGCCAATCAAAGGAAAGCTGTGTGAATCGCCGTTTCTGGCTGGTTGCTGGTTGGGATGAATACTAAATCTTATCTCCTTCGTTATCTTCTTGAACTCTGATTTGCTTTTGCTTTGTTTTAAAGGTTTATGGTTTAATTATTCAAGGGCCGCAAACAAAATATGAGATGTTTGCTGATCCAAAGTCCACATCTCATGTGTCACTCCTACGAAAATTTATTGTCTTTTATTCATAAAGACTTACATAGAACGAATTTACTTTCACACGTTATACTGGTAATGTAAAAACATGTATTATTGGTATAGGATGCTAACGTTATGATAAACTTGTGCCATAAAAGTTTTTCTTCCTTTCTCCACCATGTCCATTTGTGCCTTCCACAATTAATTTCATTCAAATATTATGGGGAATCTATTTAATCTACAAGAGAGGGTGGCCTAATATAGCAATTCGAACGTTGGGAGAAATTAGCGTGCGATCGCATATCGGAAGTTGAGAGGCGTTGTATTTTTGTGGGAGTTGTCTTCTAAATTTTTCTCTTTATATGTTGAATTTTGCCCTAGAGCATCATCATGCTTGTTACTGAAATTATTACTCGGAGCATTTGGGTTGATTACTTGAGTCCTAATTAACTATTATTCTACCTCCCTCCACCATCATATGCCCTTTTGTTACTTCTAATTGATTGTGGGTTGAAAGTTCCAACTGATCAAATCTTTCCTTTTTGGAGGACTCGGACGAGTTTGTTTAGATTTTTTAATGGTGTTATGGAGTATCAAATACTCTTAAACTTTCTATCCATAAGATATTTCGTTAGAAATATAAAAATTAAGATCTAACAATTAAATCACTCTAATTATCCTGTACCGCATAGCATGGCAGAGATTTTAAAGGTTTGCCATGCTATGCGGTACATGATAGTTAATTGATCAATAGTAGAGCTTAGGATTCCACGAAAACATCGTGTTCTAATGTGTCCAAGTCTTCACAACCGCATCAAAGACGAGTCATATTCATTATGTTCTTACAAACTTCATTGATCAATAGAACAATCCCATAGATTTTCACAAACAAGCATAGGCTCTCTCTTGAAGTTAGCACACTAGCTTATACGTTAATATTCGAAACCTAATGCTCAGGGAGTGGCAACATTTTCCTTCGCAAGCGGGGCAATCTCTTCCCCTTCAAGGTCTTGTTTGTTGCCAGCAACTTCCATGCTCAACAGCAGCTTTTCCCATTGTTTCGAAGGTCCCTGAATGAAAGAATGTTGTTCAATTACTGTTCTAATTGCAGAACCAAAAATTAAACTCGACTTAGCAACTCCGAGTTAAACTAACCTTCCACGAAAGATCTTGGGCCATGCAATTCTGGATCATCTCATTCAATGCAGGAGTACCATAAGTTGCAACAGCTCTCTTGACAGTAGTAGCAATTGCAGCTACATCTGCTGGATCAACTTTGTCACACTGAAAAAAATCACGAGAGAAATTTGTTGTTATAGTCATGTAAGTAGCACAAAGGAATAGAAACTATAGTGCAATTCTGTGTCGTAGATGCAAGCCAAGCATTGACTTACTTCGACGTTGAAATCTCCCATCTGAAATCCAGTAAAACCTTCTTTGACAGTGTCGACAAGTCCACCAGTTGAGGCAACAACAGGCACCTGAAGTTGTTGCATTCATCAGTTGAAGACATCAGCAATGCAAGTATGAAACGAGAACAAAGTGGTGAAAGGGGAGTCATCTAGCTCCTTACCGTTCCATATCTCATTGCGTGCAACTGAATGAGACCGCAGGGTTCGAATCTGCTTGGGATCAACATGAAATCAGAACCACCAATGATCATGTGGGCTAACAGGACATTGAATTTTGCAACTCCTACAGCCTTTCCAGGATATTTGATCTCTAGCTGTTTTATCTGCGTCTCCAAGTACTTCTTGCCGGTTCCCTAATAGAAAGTACATATCCTTCCATCAAACTCAACTCTCTATGCTTAGTGCCAACAGAAAAGTGCTAAAGAAAGCAAACAAACGAGATCTTACAAGGATTATTATTTGCAAGTCCTCCTCTCCAACAAATTTTGAGATAGCTTCTACTAGAATATCCGAACCCTTCTGCTCCTCTAGCCTACCAATGAATCCGAACACGGGGATGTTCCTGTCAACTGGAAGCCCAACTTCTGCTTGAAGAGCCTCCTTCAACAAAGGCTTTGCATCTAGGACCTGAACATACAATTCTGATCAGTACAAAGTTTTCTTTTCCTGCTCCATACATCAAGGAATTTAAAATTCTTAGGAGTTACTCACAGTTGTATTATCATATTTGATATCTAAGTGTTTGTCAGTGGCCGGATTCCACTCTTGAACGTCCATGCCATTCAGGATACCAGTGATGCCGGTTTTGCGAATGATGTTATCTAATTCCACACCTTTGTCTTCTCCAGAAACAAGTTCCTGGGCATAGTATGGGCTCACAGTTACAACCCTGTCGGATTCAAGTATTCCGGCCTTCATCCAATTGATTTTTCTTCCTTTCACGGGTTTGTCATGCCTGCAAACAAAACATTCACAAAAAGGAACAATATCTCATTTCCGCAAACAAACCTTTAAAGTCCATCGTATAGTTTCTACATCAAATGTGTAATATGTTATACATACCCATCAATGAAGTCGAAAGAACCCTTAAGGTTGTCGGGCAAATCAAGAAGTGAGAAGTCCGAATAAGGAAATCTGCCCTGGTAAGCTATGTTGTGGATGCAAAATACGACCTGCCATTCATTAATCCAGCATTGTTTCAGTTTTCATTTAAACAAAATTGTTGTGGACTCTAAAATGGTGCTCTTCAAACGCAGGCTACCTTACCTTCGCATTTTTGTAAATCCCCTTCGGTTTGTAGATGGTTTTTAAGTAGCAGGGAAGAAGAGCAGCGTGCCAATCATTAGCAATGAATACAACATCATCACCTGCATTGTGGTACCGATGGATATACATCGTTAGTTATTCTCTTTC